TTATTGAAGCCCTATGTGCCAATCAGATTCAGATCACTCTTGCTCCCGAGTGAGACATGCTGTGCAGCAAGGTGTTTGCGACTGCTGTGGTTTTAGGGTTTCGGGCGCTAAAGAGACACAGAGAACAGGGCCTGGGATGTATGTAATTAGTGGGGTTGCAGCACTGAAACCCATCTTGGCCAGCGGGTATTCCAGGTCATCGCACAGGCAAAAAAAGTCATTGAACGGGTGAAGGAACTATCTATCTAATAGATAGATAATTACTTGGGAACAAGTTCCTCGTAAACCACACTCTCAAGCTCGCGATACAACTTATTCACAACAGCATCCCCAAACGGCATCACGCTCACAAACAAAACACCTGCAATGCCCGTCTCACGATCAATCCACCAATGCCCATTGCACATGCCCGACCACATCATACTTTTCTTTTTCCTCCTCCCAGGCAGGTCCTTCAGATTCAACGCCCCCGCCAGACCAAAATTCTCTTGGGCATCTTCAACGCCCACATAATCGGGCGCCAACCCATTCGGCACAAGCGTCTTCTTCAACGTCGCCTGCTGCTCCTCGTTCAGCTGCGGTCTGAACATCTCATCCACCAACTCGGAACTCAAAATCCCACAGCCACCATCCAAGACCGCCCTCAACACCCTCGAATACTCCTCGGCCGTAGTCCAGAGCCCCGCACCTCCGCTTTCCTTCTCGAACCCTTCAACCGGGATCGGCACTTCTCCGACTTTGATCGCAGTCTCGTTCTCTTCAGTCCGATACGACAGTCTGACTTTTCTGCCTTCCAAGTCTTGGGTGATTTCCTTGCTCTTGAAGGTCGAGTCCTTGATCCCCAACGGCTTGAACAGGTTCTCCTCAAAGTACTCCCCCAACGTCTGACCGGTGATTTCCTCGAGCGCGATGCCGGCCCAGTCGATGCCGCTGCCGTAGGTCCACCCGCCTTCGCCGCCTGGAACGAAGACGAGGGGAGTGTCCCATCCTGGTCTGGACATGTTGTGCTGGTTGTGACCGGTGCTCTGACACCACCGCGACAAGGCGGGGTGCAACATGTCGTAACCGTACCCTGAGGTGTGAGTGAGTAACTGCCGGAGGGTGACGGGTGAGGTGTTGGGTTCCAGGATTGGAGTGCCCGAGTTGGACTCATCGAACCCGCGGAGGATTTGGACTTTGGCGAATTCGGGGATTAAGGGGCGGAGATCGCCGTCGAGGGTGAGGAGGTTGCGTCCTACGAGCTGGAGGAGGGAAATGGAGGTGAGGAGCTTGGTGAGGGAGGCTACCCAGGCGAAGGAATTGGTGGTGAAGTTGGGGGATGCGTCGTAGGGTTGGTTGGTGCGGCCCGAGGAGCCTGAGAAGAGGGTGGTGCCGTCTTTGTTGACGACGATGAAGGAGGCGCCGAGGAGTTTATCTTTGGTGTCGCCGTCTTGGGCGACGTGGGATTGAAGGAGGGAGGTGAGTTTATCTGCCATGGTGAGTGAGGCTTGGTGAATGGTGATGGGTTTCTGTGACCGGTTTTGGGGGTGATGATGTGGCCTGGGACTGTGGATCTCAGCACAAGGTTCAAGTTGTTTTGAGTCAAAGGCATCCCAGACATGGGAATTCGAGGCTACTTATATCTGAGCAGATGTATAAAATCTGTCCTTCCGTGGAGGACAATTGGCAATAGCTGTTGTTGCCTCGCACTTAATCCATGTCGATAATGCTGAGTCAGAGTGGCCGTGGAGTCCCGTGGGGGCAGCACGGCGAGTTCTACACAAGTCCTCCAACCGTTACCCTTGGAAATTCCTCCAGGACCACCCAACCAGTTTTGCTGAAAAGAGTAAAGGTCTAGCCAGACAAGACTTTCCACTGTTGGTGATGTCCTTCACCGACAAAAGCATCCAGCCGATGTGGTAAGTAAGGTGGAAAATCCCATCCATGCCAAGGTTGCATTTGACTGGCGGTAGGAAGTCAGCTGTGACGATCAAGGGGCACAGGATTGTAATTCGAGGCAGTACAACCTTGTGCGTACGCAATCCAATCCCATAGTTCTTCAGCGGAATGGGTAGTATCGCACCAAGTTCCTTCAAAATAATATTAACCCCATATCAGGGGTAGTCTGAAGTTCAAGTTGCGTGGAGAAAGGTTCAGCCATGGAAATAGATCAACTTGCATCCAAGAAAAAAAAAAAGTCATGTATCTGAGTTTATGATACAACGATGTGAGAAGAAAACGAACTTGGAATAGAATAATAACGACCACTAAATCTGCCCCCTTGTTAACGCACGCACTTCCCTCTCCACCACCCCAAGAGGATCACCCTTGGCAACCTGAACAGCAAGTTCCTTAGCCCGAGCGCGATACTTTCCTCCACTCGACAGGATGGTATCAACAGCCGCAGCAACTGCCTCGGGGGTTGGTCGTCCCGTACGCAGGTTGATACCAGCACCGGTCCACTCCACCCTTGCAGACACTTCACCCTTGTCCTCGCTCAGACCAGCCGCGATCAACGGCACACCGTTAACCACGCAATGAATAAACCCGCCGTACCCAGCATTGGAAATCATGACATCGGCGTGCTCCAACACGGAATCGTAAGGGATAAAATCCGCAACCCTCACATTGCTCACATCCACCCCTTCCTCCTCAGCCGGAAGCACCCCAGACGGCACCTCGACCCCTTGCTTCCCCAACAGCGCAACGACCAAAACATCCTTCCTCCCTGCCAGTGCCCTAATAGTAGGCGCCAACAGCATGGTATAATCTCTCGCCAGTGTCCCCTGCGAAACAACGACCAGGCTTTTCTTCTCGGCATTCTCAACCACATCCTCCCTCCACCATTCCGGAAGCTCGATCCCAGGTTGTCCCCCCTTCTTGGGCGGCAAACTCCCCGCAAACTTGACGTGCGCGGGCAGATCAGGCCTCGGGTACTCCAGCGCCGGATCGCAAAGCTGCAGGGTGGTGTCGTGAGCTGTATAGCTCAGATTGACCATCCACTCGTCCGGCACGTTGACCCCTCCGCATTTTCTAATATTCTCCCTGAATCCGTCGTATGCTTCCCTCACTACGTACTTGTACAGCCATTCCTTGAGGAGCCTATCCCGCTCTTTCGCTTCAGAGCTGGAGCTGGGCAGTAACCCCAACGGAAAAGGGGGGAAATCGTCACCGTCCAGCATGATTGGCGTCACGTTGATGCCCAGCGTCTTCGGCATGGCTTCGTCGGACTCCCAACCCGCAGGACGGGGAGCGCCGTACTTGTACGGCAGGTAGCCGAACCACATGGTCTCGTTGATGATTATCACCTCCTGCTTCCTTGTCCTGTCGCCGTCGTCCCTGCGAAGCTCCTCCAGCGCAGCTTTTGTAGATAAAAACTGGCCCTCGATCTGTCCGATGAAGAAGGTCTTGAAATCTTGGACCATTCGAGGAAGGCCTTCGGGGTATTTTGCTCTTTCCATTCCCCACTGTCTGAATGGACCCTTGGCCAGGGAGATGGACTCGTGGGTGGGGAGGAACGAGGCGCCCGAGGATTCGATCAGGTTGCGGTGGTGGATTCCGCCGACGAAGGTTACCGCGTGTCCGAGGGAGCGGAGGTGGCGGGCGACGGTGGTGAGCGGGAGGACGTGGCCCGGGGCGGTGGAGGAGGTGCAGAGGATTAGGATGTGCGGGAGGGAGGTGTTTGGCGGTGGGAAGGAGGGGATGGGGAGGGGCGGGCCTGTTGCGAAGGGGGGAGGACCGCCCGCACCGACGTTGACTGCCCAGGGAGGGGGGCCACCGCCGTTGATCCCAGGAGGTGGGCCGTCTCCGTTGACTGCCCATGGGGGTGGTCCTCCGCCATTTGCTCCCAGTGGAGGGCCGCCGTTGGTATGAGGCGGAGGGCCTTGGGGTGTTGGGACTGAGGCCATCCTGACTGTTTTCTGATTCGACTTCGGTTGAGGTTTCAGTCAAGCTTCAACGATGGCAGTGGGACAGCCGGGAGTAATATTAATGGAGGGATGTGACTTACTCGAGCTGCGCCCTGACTGTCCGAGGTCACAGGTCTCACCGGAGGTGCGACCGGACATGTGGCGGCCCCGATGCACTTGTATACAACTTGATGTAACCCGAGGGCTACTGTAACCAAGAGTTCTGGGCAACAAGGGTCAATGTGTCCATCAATATGGCGTGCATGTGGCCGGGGCACAGCGTCTCGGAGTCCGCTTTTGAGATTGCTGATCCGTGTGATTGAATCCTTGAATCTTCCAACACAGTAGTACGGAAGGCTTAATGCCCTCTCAAGCCCAGGGATGGTCGGAAGCCAGACAGGTGCATCGTGGTGAACAAGATCTATGAAAATTGTCCGAATCAAGACAATTTTTGTCCATACCACCAGCCAATCTCGGGCAGATTCTTAAGATGGCTACAAGTCTTCCTCAAGAATACACCCATCGGACAACTCCAACTGGAACAATGATGAAATATTACAATCCCGAAGATATCCAAATCCTTCCGGGAGCAAGCGATGTGACCCCTCGGTACCGGCTCGGGACTCGGTCGCTCAATCTACGCCTGAAATGATGCCCGAGTATAAATCCGTGCCTCTGCAGAGACTGGATCTTATTGAACCCAAGATATGCTTGCTACTTGTCCGGATTTAAAGCATACATCTTATAGCACGTACCAACCACCCGGTCTTCTCCAGAACTGTTTTAGCCAAATTGTCATGCTTGAGGACAACCACAACCCGAGGAAAACCTGGTAAACCCGATTTACCCTTTACCGAGCTGACTCCTTGTCTGGATCTCGGGACCGTCCAAGTCCTTCCAGGGACCGAAACATGCATTACTGGCGGCGGTGTCATGGAATAAAAAGAAATTGTCGGCATTCTGAAACAGAGGAGCTGTAGAAGCGAAGCAGTAAATAAGAAAAGGAAACGAAAATCAAAGATGACCTCAAAGGACATAGGGGCAAGCAAGCAAAGTGGATCAAAACAAATAATTCGGTCAAAATTTGGGACGCCAAAAAAAAAAAAGATATGGCGACAACTACAGGATTCGAACCTGTGAGGGCGAACCCAACAGATACCCAGAATGTGAAATTCAAGTCTGTCGCCTTAACCACTCGGCCAAGTTGTCAGGGGGAATTGATGATGAACAGACCAACAGTAGTGATTATCCAGGCGGTGTCACAAGCGGGCGAATTGTAAGGTCATCAATTCCATGCGTATCTCATCGCAACATGGAAATGGTTTTTCTGCAATCATTCTGAAAAATTTACAGCGATGACAGCAGAGAGTGAGCTCACTGCACATTAACATCAGAAATTTCTTCCAAAGAATAAACAGGTATCCCTCCACTCGCTCCTGGCTCAAGCCCCCCAAAACGGCGTGTAAGAAAGAGTTTCTACAACAACTCCGATCCGGGATCATGACAACGTGAACTCGATTATCAACCAACAAACGGCTTCTTCTTTGCCCAAACAACCAAATGATCCTCCTCCCACAAATCCTCCCTCTCACAAATCCCAGCTTCCACGGCCCGCTCAGGCAAGTATTTACTCGTCTCCTCCTTCACAATCTCCAACCCCGCCTCCCTCACAACTCTCAAACTCTCCTCCCTGCTCAGACCGCTAACCACGACCGGCCTTCCCATCCACTTGATATCGACCTCGTCAAGATCGGCAGGCAAACCAACCCACACAAAAACTCCGCCCGGCTTCAGCATCTCTTTCACGATCCTGGTCAGAGTGTCCTTGATTTCCTGCTGAGAAATCGAAGCGATGAGACCAAAGAAGATTGTGACGACGTCGTACTGTTCGTACGGGCGAAAGTCACGAATGTCGATGCATTCAAACGTGGCCGAGGGCACGTTGGATTGGGCGCATGAGATCATGGCTGGGGAGACGTCAATTCCCAGGACGCGGTGTCCGGCTGAGGAGAGGACCGAGGCGACGGGGTTGCCGGTTCCGGAGCCGATGTCGAGGACTGAGGAGGAGGGAAGGGTGGTGGATATGATCCTGCGCAAGGTATGTTGTTAGACGGACAGAAGGGGGGAGGATTTGAAGAAGGGAGGAACAAGAACCATTCCAGGGCTTCGCGTTGCGAGGGGAGGCTTTCAAAGGCCAGTTCGTATGCTTGCCCGATCGAGTCGAAAAGGGGGGCCGCGGATGGGCGTTCGGGAGGGGCTTGGGATGTCATGATTGGCGTTAAAGATTGATTTCGTTGAGAGTGGTGTTATTGAGCTGCTGTGAGGAGGTGGGAATGTCTTATGCCGGAGGGAGTACTTGCGGGCGGGGTTGCTGCATACCTCACAGATATTACCAACAGCATATTGTGGCTGCTTTTTGGGTTACACCCGACTCCAAATGTTAGCCATGTCGATAACTTCACTTATTGGCTCAAGCTTCACCAACAGCGCTCAGCCCCCTCAAATTTCCCCTTATCTATCGGATCTAAACAATTGTTGACATGTAAAAGCACGCATGTAATTTTATCCAAGGCTCCGACCCCATTCCCCAAGCACCCAAAGTATCTCGTAATTCCCCTTGAAGATCCTCCCGATGTATGCCTTGGTTGGAACTTTGACGCGTGCGATATACTGACCCGGAAGCCCGCTGTCTGGCTCCGGAGGGAGAATGACCTCGACGTGTCGCTGCCACTTCTCGATTGGAAAAAAGTATTTGCCTATGCAACGGAGCTTCTCAGTCATCCTCCACCAGTTACGATTTTGCCCACTTATTATGCATGCATACGTCGGTTGACCACCGCTGGGCTATACCGTGACGTGATTGTAGCTGGTCGGTGAGGACTTTCGACGTAGAAAATGAGTATATTGAGATGCTCCATGTCAAGGTTGATAGTGGTGATGATAAGAAAATAACATCTTCTTTCAAGTTTTATGCGCATGAAATTTGTGGAATTGGGCGACTTGGAACCGGCAGAAGTCCACTCAGTACTTTGAGGACAACTCGAAGGTGTCAATGGGTTCCTTGACACGATCTCTTGTGGCACGGTTGGCTTTGGTGGCATCAAGTGACCCCAAGTATGTGCCGCAGCCCGTATTCTTGTCACTGTGTCACGGTGGGAGACCACGTAGTGGTAACTAGGTACCCTCATGCGCCCGTATCAAGTGGTGTCAAGATGCCCTCAAAATAGTCATTCTGCAGGAAATGATGTCAATTATGTTGTATCTTTCTTAGTAAAGATGACCTCTCTTGAACTCATGTCTTCAACGTGCCCAAGTCCACAGGTGAGGAAGAACTCAGCCAGTGGAAACGAGAACACCTAGTGATCCCCATCAACACCAACAACGCCAATCTTGAGAAGATGATCATCAGCCTCCATCGCCTTCAGCACTTCGGTACTTGTAATCTCATCCACATTCCAGTGAACGGTCAAGAACCTTCCATGAAGAGTCCGAGCCTTGCTGCTCGCGGCCCACACGGCGAACTGTCCCGCCAGGTTCTCTGGAACAGCCAGCATTAGCCCAATCCGCTCGGGGTTGATTTAAACATTCGGAGGTAATCCTACCGTCATCCCAGTCAAACTTGGACTCATCCATTCCATTCTCCCTAGCAAGATCAGTCAACACCGCGCCCGGGTGGAAACTGATAATCTGCATCTTTGTAGGATCCGTGTCCCGAGCAACCTGTTGAAGAACCAAGGTGCCAGAGTTCTTAGTCAAGCCATAAGTGGGGATATACCCAGACTCGGTCTTCAAGTTGTGGATTGCCGAGCTTGAGACGTTGACCAGATACTACAGGCACATGTAAATGCTTTGATGTCAGTAATCATGCAGATTAAACAAGACTCGGAACGAACAAAGATGACGTGAGCTTCTCACCTTCTGCCTCCCCTCCGCCTGCTTATAAAACCTCGCGGCAAAATCCAACGGCGTCCTCACGTTTACCTCGAAAGCTTTCCACGTCTTTTCAAACCCGGCTTCCAGAATTGGGGCCTGCTCCCCAATTATTGCAGCATTCATGACCAAGACATCAATGGAGATACCGTCTGCTTTGAACTTATTCCATAGTTTCTCCGTCTCTCCCAGGTTGCCGATATCACAGAGCCGGCCCTCAATAACTGTTTCTGTTGTGTGTCCGGCTTCCTCCTTGAGCTTCGAAACAGCATCTCGCAAAACAGCTTCCCGCCGTCCCAGGAGGATGAGCTTGCTCGCTCTGGCTTGAACGAAGGCCCTGGCGATGGCGAAGCCAATACCGCTTGAGCCGCCTGCTATGATGACTGTGCGATCGACTTGGCTGAGTTCAGGAAGAGAAGGGGAGATGCTGGGGTATGGTTTCTTGTGGAGCGTTTTGATGAATGAGTTGCGGAGGGAGATGGAGGGAAGGGGCGCCATTGTTGTTGTCGCCGTTCTGGAGAGTTGAGTTTGCACCTGAATATTGCTGAGGAAAAGAGAGGGCCAGCGTGTTTATATCATTTATTTTTTTGGGGGGGGAAGCTGCGGATTGATCTGGCCGGCCATCCGCTCTCCCGCTCGAAAGCCGCAACAAGACCGCACTTCGCCCGCGCTGTTCGGCTTTTTCATCACGAGATACTGGAACTGGCGGTCGAGAGAAATCCAGGAGTAGTATTGGGAATATTTTTCTCTTCAAAATTACCTCATCGGTGGAGATGGACAATTCCGCACTTCGGCCGCGATCATCACCATTGCTGACAAATTCCAGAACCTTCATGATCCTCACAACCTGGGAGGCGCACATCTGAATTGTGAGTGGGGGTCGCGGGAGGCGGGGACTCAGATTGGGCCCCCAATGATCAGTTGCAGTCTGCGTTGCAACTTGGTGCTCGGGAAGCTGAACTTCAACCAGATATCCCGCAAATCATCAAACATGGGCTCACTTTACGACCTCCTCGATCCTACCTTGAAACAGATCCGCTTAGTTCAGCTCCTGCCGTCTTCAACTGTTTCTGACGACATTGTCTTCAATTTGCTTACCGTCTCACTGGCCTCAAACCCCGAGTATATTGCCCTCTCATACGTGTGGGGTAATCCAGCCGCGACCTCATGCATCGCCGTCAATGGCGTTCCTTTCCAAGCAACTACCAATTTGGTCGCTGCTTTGCGGCAGATTCGACTCAAAGACGAACCAGTGGTTCTCTGGATTGATGCCATATGTATCAACCAAAACGACAAGACCGAAAAGTCGACCCAAATCCAACTCATGCGCGACATTTATCAGAGTGCACGCGCAGTCACTGTCTGGCTGGGCGAAGCTGACATTCATACCGAGAGGGCCATCAAGATTATGAGTTTTACGGCTTATCTCAGCAGGAGTGGGACGGGGAGTGATACGATACTCGAAGCCATGGAAGCCACGATGCGTGAAGAAGACATCGCAGCATTGATATCCTTTCTGCAGAGAGACTGGTGGAGTCGGATATGGGTTATACAGGAGGTTGCTGTGGCGCCGCGAGCCCTGTTCTTGTGTGGGCAGAATGCCATGGTATTTCACGACTTCAAAGACGCATATGTCTGTTGGAGCGGGTTGATCAAGGGGCACCAAGGCCCATTACAAGGCCCGATGAGAAGACTCAACGATGTCATTCAAATGACGAGCGCCAGAGTGATACTCTGGCAGCACGCACGTCATCACATGGAGGAGAGTCTTCGCGACAGCTTGCTCAACAAACAATACGCCTTGGAGTACATGTTGGAGGAGTCCTGGAATTTCGACTCTACAAATCCTCGAGATAAAGTCTACGCCTGGCTCGGTCTTCTCCATCCTGGCGATGTTTCCCTCATACCAGATTACAACGCTACTGTTTCTGAAGCATACGTTGGGCTGGTCAGGGCCGTGATGGAACACTCTGGATCTCTGTCCCTGGTCTCATTCACCGGTTCCACAGGCAGACCGACAAAGTTGGATCCAATTCCTGGTCTACCATCGTGGGCTCCAGATCTTCGGAAAGATGCTGTGCCAATGTTCACGTGGTGGCTTAGGCCAAAGAGCTTTCGGGCATCATCAAGCGTCAAGGCGAATGCTACCATCTCGTCTGACGGGAAACTCCTGGTATCGGATGTCTTGCCGGTTGGACGGCTGGTGACAATCGATGCAGACCAGAACGAACACCAAGACCTGGCTGTAGGGGAAAAGCTTTGTCGATGGCTGGAACTGG